TATGCCCCTCCCCAAGTCCATTGATAGGGGAGGTTCTCCTCTCCTTTCTGATCTTAGTCTATCAGTTCTCATCAAAAGTGGCTGCATTGTCCTCTTCTGTGGCCTGGATTTTTTTTAAAAAATTGACAAAGCATTCCTGGCAACTATGAAGCTGAGAATAGGAGAAATAGTCTACCCTAAGGAAGAGCACATCAGTTGGCTATCCAGTGCCAAATAGTCAGCTCTGAAAATGTATACATACAATTAACATTGTACAGACTAAAAAGATTGTATTTATGAACATAAACATGTGTATGTTCCAACAAGTAAAGAAAAGGATACTATGAGTTTGAATGAGAGAATGGTATATATGGTGGGTTTAGAAAGCTAAGAAGAATTATGTGACTATATTATGATCTCAAAACTAAGAACTAAAAATTTTATCCTGTATCTTTGTACCCTGATGGATCAATAGGTTCAAACTAAAGTGAAAATAAGAAAAAAATAATATTTCTATATGATAAATATATGTGTCATTATTTACATAATAAGAAATTAACATTAGCTGCTTTGGGGGATTGGACTCTCATGAGAATCTTTGAAGGAAGACTTTTTAGTAATTCTTAAGTTTTCACAAAGATCATGTATTATTTTATAGTCTTTTAAAAAGTTTGGTTAATAAAAAGATCTCATATTTACCTATACCTTTGTGTTTATTTTATGACAAGATTGTCTTTCTGTAGAAAATTATATAATTGGGAAGATGTTCAATCATGTTATGTTGGATGTCATCATGTCATTGGCTTTGTGGTGAAAGCAATATACAAAGAGAATGTAAGATCTTAAATATTGTTTGAAATCACTTTCTCTGACATTCTTCACTATTGAGATAGGTGATAAGACTTGCCAGCTTACCCACTCAAAGTAAAAACAGAATGAAAAGTAGGTTAGAAAGTACACTTCAAATGATTTGCAACAAGATGGACAAATGACAAATGATGACAATGGCTGGAACGGTGGCCCATAGTTAAGATACTTGAAATGCAGGTACAAGGACTGGAGTTTGCATCCCTAGAACACTTGTGAATGCCAGATGGATGTGTTGGTCCACCTGTAATTCAGCCTCAGGAAGCAGAGATAGGATACCTTGAACAAACTGCCTAGCAGGATGTGGCCATATCTGTGAGCTCTCGGTTTGATAGAGAGACCCTGCCTCATTGAATGAGATGGAAGAGCCATGACAATTATTGAAAGTCCAAGTGGATTAAAGACCTCAAATAAAACCAGACACACTAAAGCAGTTAGAAGAAAAAGTGGGGAAGAGCCTAGAACTCATTGGCTCAGGAGACAACTTCCTGAACAGAATACCAAGAGCACAGGCTCTAAGAGCAACAATCAATAAATGGGACCTCATGAAACTTAAAAGTTTCTGTAAAGCAAAGGACACTGTCATTAGAACAAAATGACAACCTACAGACTGGGAAAGGATCTTCACCAACTATATATCTGACAGAGATCTAATATCCAGAATTTATAAAGAACTCAGGAAGTTAAAAAGCAACAAAAAAGTAATCCAATTTAAAAATGGGGAACAGAGCTAAACAGAGAATTCTCTGTAGAGGAATATCGAATGGCAGAGAAACACTTAAAGAAATGGTCAACATCCTTAGTCATCAGGGAAATGCAAATAAAAATGACTCTGAGATTTCACCTTACACCCATCAGAATGGCTAAGATCAAAAACTCAGGTGACAATCATGCTGGAGAGGATGTGGAGAAAGGGGAACCCTCCTCCATTGCTGCTGGGAATGTAAACTTGTACAACCACTTTGGAAATCAATCTGGTGCTTTTTCAGACAATTAAAAGTAGTGCCTCCTCAAGATCCAGCTATGACACTCCTAAGCATATATTCAAAATATTCTCAATTATACATTTTTTTTCAACCATGTTCGTTGCAGCTTTATTCATAATAGCCAGAACCTGGAAACAACCCAGATGTCCATCAACGGAGGAATGAATACAGAAATTGTGGTAATTTACACAATGGAATACTACTCAGCAATTAAAAACAAGGAAATCATGAAATTTGCAGGCAAATGGTATGATCTAGAAAAGATCATCCTGAGTGAGGTATCCCAGAAGCAGAAAGACACACACAGTATATACTCACTTATAAGTGGATATTAGACGTATAATATAGGATAAACCTACTAAAATCTGTACACCTAAAGAAGCTAAGCAAGAAGGAGGTCCCTGGGTAAGATGATGAATCCTCACTCAGAAAGACAAATGGGATGGACATTGGAAGGAGAAAACAGGAAACAGGACAGGAGCCTACCACAGGGGGCTTCTGAAAGACTCTACCCAGCAGTGTATCAAAGCAGATGCTGAGACTCTTAACAAAACTTTGGGCAGAGTGCAGGGAATCCTATGAAAGAAGGGGGAGATAGTGGGTCCTGGAGAGGATAGGAGCTCCACAAGGAGAGCAACAGAACCAAAAGTTTTGGGCCCAGGGTTCTTTTCTGAGACTGATACTCCAACCAAGGACCATGTATGGAGATAACCTAGAACCCCTGCTCAGAGGTAGCCCATGGCAGCTTAGTGTCCACGTGAGTACCCTAGTAAGGGGAGCAGGGACTGTCTCTGACATGAAGTCAGTGGCTGGCTCTTTGACTGCTTACCCTGGATTTGGGAGCAGCCTTACCAGGCCACAGAGGAGGACAAAGCAGCCAGTCCTGATGAGACCTGATAGGCTAGGGTCAGATGGAAGGGGAGGAAGACCTTCCCTATCAGTGGACTTGGAGAGGGGCATGGGAGGAGATGAGAGAGAGGAGGTAGGGTTAGGAGGGAGGGAGGGGGCTACAGCTGGGCAACAAAGTGAATAAACTGTAATTAATGTAAAAAAATTTTAATTAAAAAAGAAAAGGTATGAAATAGGAAAAAAATAAATTGTGATATCAACCTTGGACCTCTGTATGTGCCACATCTATACATGTGGGCCCCCACACATGTAAACATGCATGAATACACAAACACAGGAAAAGTGAAAAAGAAAAGATATTTATAGTCATGATTTAGTAACCGTTTCCTTTCACTCTCCTAGTTTAGGTACATAAGTATAGGAAATCATTTAGGAATAAAATGAGTAAATTACATTTCTATTACACTTTTTTTTTCTTTATTAATTCAGGGTTTTAAGGAGAGTATGATTACAGTGGAATAACAAATATATAGTGATTGTCAAAAAAATTAAAGTCTTTCCCTGTTTGAGAGGGAAGAAGCGAGCCTACTAGTTTCATGTATACTTTAGAAGCAGAAAGCCAAAGAAAGTTTAGATTTTTCAGAAGTGAACTGGGCAGAGCAACAGTAGCTGTACAGTTCTCCATGAGTCGTTCCCACAGTCATATGCAGAGGAAACAATAAACATTTGTTTACATTCCTAATCTTTGAGAGTATGAGTTTCATTCAGCATTGGCAGGAAGCATGCCTGTCCTTTATTCTTCGTTATACAGAACAGATAAGATGCCTTCCCCGTGCTTCAGAGGGAGAAGCCATTTCTGCGACAAGTAGGCACGCCTGGTATTTGCTGTAGAAAGAAAAAACACTTCAACCCTGAAGGCTGCTTTCAATACAAACATACTTTCCCAATTCTTCTTTTTATTGTTTGATAGATTCATACCCTTATGAATTTTTTTCGCTTTCACCCCTCCACTCTTGAAAAATCGTACGAAACAAAAATAAATCCGTTTTCTTCATAGAATGTGCGGAGATGTATGAACAGGACAGAGCATTGTGCCACAGTTATATCTGAACTGCACTTCTCTGTTATCTTGGCTTTTGATGAATTTTCATTTGAGTAAATTCCATCCATCGTTCTGCTTAGTGTGACTGCCTGAGGCCGGGATGAAACCTTGTCCATTTTCTCCATACAGCACTGAAATGCAGCTTGTGTCAATAGGATACTAAGCAGCAAGATGAGGCTAATTTGCCTCACTTCACTGTGTGCCAATTCCGAACACACTTAACTGAACATAACATGTCATAAAACATTAGGTTCTAGTTTAGAGCAGTGAATGTCTTTCTTTTTGTCTTTGTGTTGACATTTCTACTCAGCCATAGATACCTTTCCACTGAGAGAAAGATGTTTCTGCCATGAGATTCAAGTGGAATAGGGGCAAGAATTACCCCCCCCCCCATAAACCAACATAGAGACCCAATGTATTTCCCACTTTTGTCTACACGGGCTCTGTGAGCAATGTGTGCAAGTCAGTGGTAATTATCATTTTAATGCAATCTATCAGGAAAATGTACAACAGGATGTATTAGTTGTTGTGCCAGCTTTTCACCTGTATGAATTATAGTTATATTGTCTATAATAATGTTGATATTAACTTGAATGTTAAGAGAATAAGAGAGTAGGTTGATATTAACTTGACCTAGACATGGGGCCATTGACTACCAGTTGGTGGCAGAG